CATCAACTGTGTTAATAGGAGATGTGTTCAGGTTCGAGGCAATTCTGCCCCGAAGATCAGCTCTGAAGGATGCCCAGTCGGTTTTAACTGGGCTCCTGAATAAGCGAACCTCGCCGCAGAAATTCCCCAACCCGAAGACAATGTGCCTATGATCAGACAGGGATGGCTCAAGGGACACTGACCAGTCAATAATCCTGTCAGCCATACCCGCCGAACACAGGGTAAGATCAATTACTGATTGGCCTATCCTGCTTAAAAAAGTTGGTTCTGAGCCTACATTTGCAACAAGTAGGCCGCAAGGAGCTATGTATTCTAGAAGTGACCTACCTCGGTTGTTAGTGTCCCTGCATCCCCAGGCCGTATTATGGGCATTGGAGTCGCAGCCTATCACGAGTTCGGATCCAGACTCGTGTGCGAGGTCGACCAATCTTCTGACCTCGGCCGATGGGAGCAGTCCATCGTCGCCCTGTGGCATGTAAACAGAGGCCAGCAGCAGTTTTATGTTGGATTTAGTACATACAGTCTTAATTACTGTTACGTCCCTCGAACAAAGCTCTAGAACTGGATTACATTTTAGCCCCTCTTTAACCCAAATGCAAGTTCTAGGGTGTGGTACAGTTGCAGAGAAGATGCTACCCTTTATAGTTCCCATCCCCGCAATTCTAAAATTATTGATCCAGGGTTCCTGAATCAAGGCATAATCTAAGGACTGCTTAACCGTGCTCAGACAGAACACAGCCGTGGCAGCCTTACTGTGTTGTAGGTTCGCTTGAAGGACCTGAGTCATCAGAGGGAGCACCAGAGATAACTCTGAGCTGTATTTTCCCCAGACCCAGATAGATAATCCAGCCACGATCTTTCAGAACCTGCGCATTCATTTCATCAATAGCAAGAACAAGAATCTGATGATCATCCTTCCTCTTCCCACCAATGACGCGCCAGTCCTTTGTCGTGACACCAGGATTTTGCCGCTCAATCTGAACAAACACTTTAGAGGCTTCGACCTTGGCCAAGCGCCTGTCAGTGCGTAGGAGCACTTTGGTCGTGCGCAACAGATCCTTATAGTCTGCTACAATGACCTCCATACTCCCCTCATTTCCCAGCGCCAGCTTCGGTGCCACCCTCTTTAGCCAGTCAGTTGTTTCAGAATTACCACAAGTTACGACAAGAGCACCCTTCTCATGGTAAATTTTTTCAAACTGATGAGGAATGTTGGCGCCATCATCACCAAACACCAACTCCATCAGTTTGTCCTGCAACAAATCACATTCCTCAACAGAGAATCTCGCATCGGGATAGGCCGCTGGAGCTACTGCCAACTTGTGACCCACAAGCTGATCTCTGTAGCTGGCCTTTCCTGCAACGAGTCCATCTGCTGATTGATTAGAGTTTTTATTTCTCTTAGAAGGAGGATTTTGAGACGACCCAGGGTTACTATCGGATCCGGTTCTACGCATCGGTGATACGCCTGAACCTTCCCCAGGAGAACTCAAGGACTCTCGCTTCCTCTTTCTCCACTGTCTGTTAGGGATCCACGTGCCCTCAGCCTTTTTCCTTTCTCTAACAGACATATTGTACTCAGTTTTGGTCATAACTGTAAAAGTGATCTCAGAGTCGGACGAAACATCCGCCAGAGATGGAGAGTCGCCAGCACTGCTGGTGTTTAGTGGCTTATTCAGGTCTGCATCTAACCTGTGGCAAAGCTCAAGCACATCAGTAGATGAATTGGGTGGAGTTCTTGCTGTTAAGGAACTTCTCGAGAAGACCTCTGGCGTGTCCAGGATCTCCCCAGGTTCCGTCTCCATAGCGGTGTTCTGCACAGTAACATTATCATTGTTAAAGGAAAGCTGATCGTTGCCCTCCCCAGAATCCATGGGCTTGTCCTCCAAAAAGGAGGAGTGGGATTCCCCGCTTGAGCAGGTACCCACCTGGGGTAATGATTCCGTTCGTTTACTTTCAGCCATTACTAAAACAAGAAAAGCAAAAAAGTTAGCAGTTTAGCAGCCGAACCGTGACCCACTCACTACGCCTGCTAATATCCAAGACTGGACCCTTTCGGGGTAGGACCCCTCATCGTCTCCAGCTCAGTCCTGTCACAGCTGCACACATACCTGTAACAGTTGGCGGTAACATTAGCTATCTGGGCCTTGGCCGGATTGGTGATTGTCACCTCCGCCCAAGGCCAGTACTAGAGCAGCCGCTCCCTACCCTAGGGCTGTCTAGTCACGACACAGCCAGCGCTAGATCCGCTGCCTTCAGCGAGTGCAGAGGCACCCCTTGCAGGCTGTGCATAGCACAGTACGACTTTGCTGAACAAAGTCGACTCACAGCGGTCTTGGAGGAGGAGCTGTCATAGACAGCTCCCCCTCCCTGAGGAGCTTACGCTTACCTCTCACCTCCAAACAAACGGAATCAAGTAGTCAATTAAAACTGGGTATAATTCAAAACTGCTAGTTTACATACATAGAGAAACATTATGGCATTTTTAATAGGGAAAATCATCTTGTAAACAATCACGTAACCACCTATTTCTTTTATCCTATTAGGCCTATATGATATTCATTCATGATATATTTACAGTCTGGAAGTCCTCACTTTTCTGAAGTCAAATTATTCTCATTTTCACACCGCAACTACCCACTCATATCTGTTTCGCAATACTTTCAATCTAAAAATTCCAGCCCTTTAACCACATTCTTTGAAAGACATCTAAATTATAATGCCATAAAACTGTTCAATGTTCTCCCTCTTCAAATCAAGTCCATGTCAGAACCTGAAAGCTTCAAAAGGCACTTGAGGTAATTTCTCGCGGGTAAAGGCTACTACAGTGTCAGCGCCTTTCTCACTGACGGACAGTCCTCATGAATTTTAATTTTAATTAATATTTTAAAAGTTAGGCCTAGTTTATAGTTCTTTTTAGTAAATTTGACTTGGCTAATGCATTTGTAATGTCAATCTAGCTAAATAAATGAGTTATTGAGTAAAAAAAAAAAAAATATATATATATATATATACAAAACATTGAAAAATACAAACAAAGTCTTATTGTTGCACATTAATGTCTTGATCAAACTTGTAATGGAAACGGCCCCCTTTTACTTCAAGTGTCAGAGGACTGAGAACTGATATTATGTCCGTTAAGTGGACATATGAAATGTTATTTTCATCTGTTTTGAACAACGTGGTTGCATATCCGGCCAGTGACATTTCCATTTTCATTTACACTTTCATCTTCTGACGAATAAATATCTGAAACTTTTAACTTCTTCTTAACAGTCAGGTTTGATTTTGTTCTACAGTCAGATTCAATTCTGGTGCATTTTATTTCCATTAGGTTATAGTCTACATTTCTGGTCGGCAGCACAATCAAAACAAGAAAGTCTCCTCCCATATGTAGCCTGCACTACCACACATAATCTGTCTTATGCTCATCATACCTTTGACTTCTGGGATGTTTTTAGGGAGCAATTCTTTTGCATTTTCAATGGCTGTATATGGTATTTCAATAAGACGAGTTTAACTCTTTTTGCCTAATGCGGCTACAATATCAGCTTTGCAAGTAATGTCTTTGCCATGTTTTACTTCCAAGTCTGAAGTTCTCTTCAATGAATGTCCCATGCCGTCCATGGCTCCCTTACCATGACCTGGCTCACTGAAGTTCCAAGTAAATTGTGGTAATTTTGGAAAGAAAAGTGGTAGCAAAGATTTCATTAGGTATATGTTAGTTCTGTTCCTATATTGGGAAGAGGGGCTGTCCAAGAAAATATGTTTAGTGTAGGTATCCGGAAATGACCTACTGCTTCAAAGATTGGCTTCATTGCTCCCAACTAGCATGCAACTAGCATTTACAAAGTTATTTTAATAAAACAGATAACACTCTATGTTATAGTAGAGTAGAACGATAGGAATAATCACAAGTTTAAATAAAGCGATCTCTGCTAATTATTCAACTAAATTTATGACTAAACTGCCCGCGGACGTTTGACTTAAATAGCGTAATTGATTAACAGTGAATAAACGATAGGCGTAATAAAAGCGATAGCGAGTGAGGTCGAGTTATCCTAGGCGCCCTAGTTACAACAACGGCGAATGTCGTCCACTTACTTGGCGTGAGCGAGAGTGTAGGGTCGGGCGTCCTTCTTCTGCCTAATTGCTCAGGCCACTGTTCCTGCTGACTGTCGACTCTCGCCGACTCCAACTCACTGTCTCTGCGAACGCCGCGCACATCCAGCGCTGTGGCTGGGGTCCTTGCGCAGGCGCGGGCGACTGATGCGCGGCCCGGTGGTACGGCGGTGAACCACAAGATCAGCTGTTGCTGAACTCGTGTCATCTGCTAATTTGTTTTGTTTACCTCTTGGAACTTAACTTCGGCGAATTGGCGAGGCGATTCTGCTATTAAGGGTTTAGTTTTATTATAAATATTCACCAATTCTATGAACCCTTACAAATTAAGTGATTGATTATGTTTACGAGGGGAATCCAATACTCTATGAGCAACTAGAAATCGACAGTTACTTTCAAGGTTTACACTAATTCATCTAACTGCGATAGATTGAGTGAAATTATACATATTTTGAGCATTTAGCATTGATTAAAGATTAACCCTTCAACGCATGACTTTCTATATGGCAGACCACCCCCTCCCGCGGCACTTTTCCAAAGCTTTTACTGGGACCGTTACATGATTACATAAAACCTACAATAATTAACTTATTTATTAATGGATTTTTATAATTCTTCCACCAAATTGAAGAACAGATTATAGGCTTTAAAAATATATAATTGAAATAAAAGTTTGAATGTGATACATTATTTATATACCTCTTAAAAGTTAGTTTTTGTTAGTGGGACCGTCATATGTTTACATAAAACCGTCAATAATTAACTTATTTATACATGTATGTTTATAATTCTTTCACCAAAATAAAGAGCAGATTATAGGCTTTAAAAATATATGATTGAAATAAAAGTTTGTATGTGATACAATAGTTACATACCTCTTAGAAGTTAACCTTTGTATGGTAGTCTTCGAAGCATGCTCCAAGACACAGTCCTGCTTCACACTTGGGACACCAATATCTGCTGTCTCTTCTTACTCCCCGTTTTGCACATACACAGCACCTCTTTTGTGCATTTACTTTACTTCCTGTAGGTGGTATCAGGTAAATGAAGTGCCTTTCTGTAAGTCTAGCAGGTCTCGGCTCAATTGAAGGTCTTCCGAAAACAGGTCTTGGTACTTCAGGGCCATGGGTCTCAAAAAGCATCTTTATAAGATCTAATCGAAAGGAAATGTGGTCAATTTTCTGGGTATTAGATTTCCAGATTATAAAGGAATTCAATACAGAAATATTCAAAAGGCGTTTAAATATTTTTACGTACCATTTCAAGCCCCTTTTTCTCTCTAGCTGATATGCGTGCAGCATTTGGTCCCTCATATCAACCCCTCCCATTTGCTTGTTATATTCATACACCAAAGCTGGCTTCATTTCTTGCCTCCCATTCTTGCTAAGTCTTTGCTCCATTTCATGGGAGTGGAAGGTAGAAATGAGAGTGACGATTCTTTTGTCGTGCCACTTCATCACCATCACATCTCCACTGTGTTTTACTACAATTTCTCCTTTTTCTAATTTTTGACTTTTGATTTCATCTGGAACATTTTTCCTTGATAATTTTAGGGTGCCACATGTGTCTGTATTTTTTTCTTTTAATAATTTTGAAAGCTCAGGGGAATTATACCAATTATCCATCAACAAAGTAAATCCTTTATCAAGAAGTGGCTCCATAAGGGAGAGAACAATCGCAGTGGACATGTTTGATTTAGGTAAGATGATAGGATTATCAAAGACCATGCCTTTTCCGGTATATACAATGAAGGACCACGTAAAGCCTGAGGAGGATTCACATATATCAAACGATTTTATCCCGAATTTGGCTGCTTTTAGGGGCAAATATTGCTTGAAGCCCAAACGGCCCTTCCACAATGTCAGAGACTCGTCGATGGATATATTTTGAGACAGTCTATAAGAGGATTGAAACCTAGCGTTCAGATGTTCAATTACAGAGAAAATTTTGAAAAACCCCTTTTGGCCCTGATAATCACTGATCTTTGTATCATCACAGAAGTGCAAGTTCTTAGAAATGGCCTCAAAACGTTCACATGGCATTGTACTTGGAAAGATGTCTGAGCGCAAACAGGGGTTTTTGGAATAGTAAGATCTAATAGTAGGCCTCTGGTCCACACCCATCAGCATGATTAGAGCTAAATACAAACACATTTCGTCTTTGGTGACAGGACTCCATTTCCAGTTCCTTGAAAACTGTGGGAAAATCATGCCAAGCTTTCTGTGCTGTTGCTCCGCATAGAGGTTGGTATTTTGTACTATTATGTCCAAAAGCGTGTCATAAAAAAAAAAAAATGGAACAGATCTAGGGGATTTTCAACAGGGATTTGAGGACCAACACCACCAAACCCAACAAAATTTTCTCTGTGAGGAATGTAGTCCTCAATTGTCTCCCAAACCGTAGAAGGCACATCAGTTGTAGGCCTACGGTTATATCCAAGGTGTACATCTCCCGCACCTAATACAACTTCATCGATTGTCACATCGACAGAATTTTTTTGAGGAATGTGCATTTCAACAGGAATAGTGTGGGTTTCAGTTTCCATAGGAGAAATAGGCCTAGGCTCACCATTGTCTTGGCGGAGGTTATGTCTAGGAATAAGGAGAGGAATCTCATCGTCACTCTCTAAATCATTTTCTAGGCCTAACGTTTGAAATTGGGCATAGTCTACATCAAATGAATCGTTATCACTTACATCTGATGCATTATCTGCATCCAAAAGCCAGTAATCGATCTCACTACTTCTTGCCATTGTAAAACAAACACTAAAACTCAGCTCCAAAACACAACACTTTTGGTACTTTTACATCTGTCTCTCCATGTGCTGGCTTCTCTTCTACTGGAAAGCTTGATACAGATGCTGACATGCTTGACTCTTCCTTGTTTTTACAGTTTTCAATTGTGTTCTGCAGCTGTTCCAGAAACTCTGTGTGTGTAAGACCATGCCATAGTTTCCTTTTTGCTGCTGGCCGATCGTAAGATACTATCATAATTGTAGCATTTGTCAGGTTGTGCAGCTTTATTATGTTTTTAGCAAAATCTTCTGTGTCAGATCACGCACACAGCCCATAGGTGAACAGATTAGGGTTTCAAACTTTTTGTTCTTGAAATCTTCTATGAGTTGGTTAAAAGCTTCATCGTAGTCTTGCTTGGTTGGTTTTCCATGACACTCTTGTTTAGTCACCAAACTGTACACCGTTGCTCCCCCCACGACAGATTGACAGGTCAGTTTAGTATTAATAAAGTCAGTTTCTTGTGGCCTTCCAAATTTGTTTCTAAACACAAATTCTACCCCAGCAGACATGTTTCTCTCGTGACTGGGGTCCCTAGAAATAGTGTGAGCAAATGCTGTTGAGGCATTACCTTTATTCAAGTCAATAATTTTCCTCATGTTCTCTTTCACAATATTAATACAGTTTTTTTCTTCTATGTTTCAAACTTGCTGAGTTAGGTTTAGGTTTAAGAAAAAATTACTTATCATAAAAGCTATTGTTTTTTTACCCTGCTTGTTGAAGTGTAAACCGCGTTGTGTGTATAGGTGGCGGGGCAGTTTATTTATGGCCAGGAAAGAGGCATGTTTATGTTGGGCCACCAGTTTTTCAATATTCGTATTAAGGAACCATATTCTGTTGTTGAGGCCTGGGACATGATGCCTGTAGGGAAGTGCTGATGTAATGATGTTAGTGTTCTTTGTATTTTCAAGCAATATCCTGATGGATTCACAGTAATTTCTCTCTGCCTGACTATCTTCATCATTGGACCCACCCAACACAACCAGTGTGTCACACTTTGTAAAGGATTTTATGAGGATTTTAACATCAGATAAAACCTCCTTCATAATTGCATTGGGCTTAAAGATGCAGCTTATGTCATGTCCGCCTTTTTGCCAGATAGATGACAAATTAGGTGTATGGTGTCTCCCATGGCTGTCAGCCAGTATTAGATTTTTTTTCCTGGGAAGTTAAGGTTGCCTCCTAGTCCTGAGGGATGATTTCTTAACAGTTTCAGTCTCATTACAACAGTTATGAATTACAGTGGGATTTTCATTTACTCTGCATATAGTTTCCATAGTAGAACCGATTGTGTGTTGATTATTCCTAGTGTCTTGCAGTGAGACTTGAGCAGAAGCTGAGTGTTCTGAGAATAGTTTTAGGCCATCATAATATTTATGTGCAGAGAAATCTTTGGTGAAAATTGGGCTTGTTATTGGTTTATTACTTGTTATCAAGGAGCATGCTATTTCAAGATTGTGTAAGACATGCACGCCACATTCGGTTGTTCCTCTCTGGATATAACATTCCAAATTTTTCAGCTCAAACGCTTCTTAATTCCGAAAAAACTGTGCCAATCTCACACCAAACTTTTTAGTATAACTACTATTTAGACCAGCAAGTGAGTCCGAATGATAGGCAACATTTTGAAATCGATTATAAACTAATACAGACCAGTGATAAGAACCAGATTGAGTGTTAAAAGTTCTGTTATTAATAATTGCCATTATGTAGTCTTTATTTTGCATTTATATTTGATTGCAGAGTTGCATAATGAGCTCCAGGTCCTCTACTTCCTTCACTAGGTGGCCTACTGAAGGACACAAAATAAAACTGTTATTTGGGATGTTCAATTTGATTTTAATCCATAGATTTATTTCTTCATCATCCAGTTCATGTAGGGTATTATGTCCGACTGTTTCTATAACTGCAGGTTTTGGATTGGTTCTATTACATTCCGATTGTGTTGTTTTACTTCTACATATTCTTGCATCCACATGAGGCTGATTTGTCTTTGAGTTACTTGTAGAAATACTCATATCTGTATTTTTTGTTTTAACATAAGTACTTCCAGACTTAGTTCCTTAAGAGTACTTTCCAGCTTCCTTATTTTTTGCTTCAACTCATCACAACTGTTACACTCATGTACTTTTTCATTTTGTTGTATTGTCTGGTTGTATTAACCAACTAACTTATAAATTTACTTCCTCATTGTAACTGTCACAATTTTCAGACAAAAAGTCACACTCATCACAGCATCACAGTCAATCCATGTGTTTTCAAGTCCATTTTGTTTTTCTTCATTCCATGAAGCATTACATTTCGTACATGAGTCTGTCTTTTTTGTGATCTTTTATTTCACTTTCTTTCCTGTTTCTTCTCTTTTAATTTTTCTCTCGAGTAGTCGTTTTGCCATTTTAATTCTTCCTCTTTCATTTCTATCTTTTTCTTATGATATGAACCTACTGTGTTGAGGTAGCAACACTTCTACTTGGAATCTTTTCCTCATTTCTTATGGATTTATTTTCTGGTTTAATCGGTTCAGGCCAAAATAATATCCTTTTGAATGGTGATGGAACAAATACATTACTTCCTGCAATTGAAGTCTGTTCTTTCGGAGATTCTTCTCGTAGTTGTGTGTTGCTTGTACTTGGGACTTGTTCTTTCAGAGGTGTTTTATTGTCAGGTGTCAAAGGTTCAGTATAAACTACCATTCCTGCTTCCTGCAAAATTTTGTTCACTGCATCAACATCTGTCAACACAGGAATTTCAAAGTTTTCATTTTCAACGACCTCTTCCAAAATTGTCTCTTCTACTTGTGGGACAGTTAAACCGCCATTTCCATTTGTGAGTTCCACAATATTTTGAGTTTCAGGTGTCAGTGATGTTACGCCAATTGGATTTTCCAGACTAGATTTCGTAGCATCTTCAGTCATACTGCGCCATACCTTGTACAGTGACAAGTCTCTCTCTTCACCTTGCCATTCATCGGCATTTCTCCTTACTTGGATACAGTTGTCTTATAGTATTACCTTCTTCTCTGTTACTTCTCTTGGTTGCAACCTTTCTGTAGTCGACAGCGCTGGCATTCCAGGGGTAAAGTCCACATTTCCTGAAGCCATTCTGCAAGACTTCTCCCCTAACTTGGTCATCGATGCACTGTTTCAATAACGGGCCAAATGTCTCTTCTTGAGGACAGGGTTGTTCATATTCGAGCGGGAGTCTTGTGTCGAGACTCGGCAAGAGAGATGCTTGAATCATATTATATCCTGTTTGGTTTTTTAATAGTAGGCCTACATGTATTTAATGTTCATTTTGTGTACGTGTTCTATTTTAAACTTTGACGTGACCATGTGTGTCGAAAAATCAAGATTTTAAGCTTCAAGTTCTGGATCTGATGATGGCAATATATTTGCCAAAACGTACGTAATCCTACTGGATTAACAAAACCCACAAGGCAGTCTGCAGGTACTGTAACCTTTTATTGATTAGCTAACGTGGTTTAGAAAAACAACTACATTATGAAGGTGGAGATACGTTAGAAGACAGATGAAACATGCTCGTTATAATTTTGAAGCGCTTGAAAGGCATAGTTTTCTTATAAAAAGGTATGTACAGGAGAGGGTCAGTACTCCAGTAGTCACGGAGACTTTTGCGACGGGTTAAGCCCATAGACAAGAGGATACCTATGTAACTTTTCATCTCCTCCACTGTCACATCAACCCATTTGCGGAAGCGTGACTGTGGGGCCAGCAGACCACACCTCTCCAAAGTGGCCATTCGACTGTGGGCATACCTGTTAGTCTCAGTGACTAACATGTTCCACATAGTGTCAGTGAAGAAGATGGAAAAGTACGATAAGGGATTTTCAAAAACATTACATATAGGCCCAGTATTAGGAACAAGAAATTAAGATTTGATGTCACCTGCTGGCTCTGGAGGGTACACCCTGACCGACGGTGGACTATTCGGCAGCTCCGGGCGTGGGGGACCTTCCCGCTGACGGGGAAGCGGAACTGTCTCTTCAGCGGGGGGATCTTCTGTGGGGGGCTGTTGCTCTCTTGGTGGTGGCGCTGGACCAATTTCCCTCAGCCCAATCTCTGGGTCCCGCTGTGGAGGGGGTTCAGGTTTTCTAGAAGCAGTATTAGTTCTCGATTGTCTAGGAGAGGGGAGTGTCGGAGGTCTGGGAGGGGCCCGAGTCGGTGATCTAGGAAGGGGCCGCGTCGGTCTGGGCTGGGGCAGTGTCGGTAGTCTGGGAGGGGACAGTGTCGGTGGTCTGGGAGGGGGCAGTGTCGGTGGTCTGGGAGGGGGCAGTGTCGGTGGTCTGGGAGGGGGCGGCGTCGGTGGATCTGGTGAGTTACTTTTCTCTTCTTCACTACAGGTGGAGGCGAGTCGGGGGAGAAACCATCGCAGTCAAAATCCAGTTGGTGCTTCGGTTTTGGCAAGAAGTTGGCAGGTATGTCTTCTCGGTCACTCGTGTCTAATTCTTTGAAATCTGGATGGTAAAAGTCCTCACTTCCAGAACTAAAGTCGCACAGATCGTCCTCGATGTCACTTTCATTAATTATAATATTCTTTAGAGCTGTGTAGAGCTTTCCCCTATCTTTACGCAAAGTAGGTTTTTTTTCTTATGTAATAAATAAGGACCGATTGTCCTCTCTTAAAGTCCCTGCCCGACTAAAAAATAGTGGGGTTTTCAAGGGTTTTTGAGGGGTTGACGTTGCAAAGGGGGGTGAAATAGGGGGGGGGGGGCTGACAACAGGGGGGGAATCAGGATTGTCCATAGTAAGAGGAGGGTTATAGTCCGCAAGAGTTCCTGATGCTCCTGGATCAGACTCATCATCATCACTAAATGGTGCTATATCCCCAATTTCCAAATTTTCAAAAGAATCACTGTCAATTACATTATTTACAACATTTTCACTATCTATGTCCGTTTGCTCGTCCAAAATGTTCTGGATAGAGTGAACACCTATTCCCTTCTTATTCATTGTAGGATAGGCCTAACCTGTGAACAATCACTATTTTAATAACACTACATTTGCACATAAATAATAGTATTTACCCATTGTAATATTGATAAATACTACTACTAACTCACACAATATACGACTATACACTTCATTTACACTGGATAGGCCTAACCTGTGAACAATCACTATTTCAATAACACTACATTTGCACATAAATAATTGAATGAACGAAGTGAATTCTCATACTGGTACGAAAAGCATCTCTATGGATTACAAAAACTCGAGAACGATTACATCTATCAACTTGATGTTTTGCACAAAGATTCTATAGTATAATATCATGCCGGGGATCGTTTTTGGAGCATATTTGTTCAGTAATTACTATTTAATCCTAAAAAAACCATTTTAATTTTCCCCCATAAGAATAACATTAGGAGCTACCTTCTTCTTCTTTTTTTTGTTTACATTTTACGAGCAACAATTTTGTTATTTTGCTTCTTGCTTTAGACAAAGAGACCAAATTGTCTATTATTTCTTTCATCCATGGAGTAAACAGTTTTACGCATAAGAACGCTTTACACTAACTTATAACTATTTAAAAAAGAATATTTATCTGTGGAAATAAATATCGGATTTAAAAATATCCACCGAAATTTATTAACTTTCATTCGATAAAATTATTTAGGTAGTTACATGTTGTTATTATGGTTGTTTGTTCAGTAGGCTTGAATAATATCAGCCTAATTATTACTACTTTTTTTTTAAAGAGTCACTTTTTTTCAAAATTTGTTTATCGTCGTCGTCGTCGATTGGATTGTGTTGTGATTCGTGATTGTGTGTTCGTGTTGTTGGGTGCTGTCTGCTGAGCTGAGTTTTATGTTGATGTTAACACAGTTAGTTAAATAGCAATAAAGTAATTAATTGTAGTAGTTAGGGTGTTATGGTTACACTTTGAAGTGTAGTTTGTGATACTACAGTCGTCAATCGCAACTAAAAGACTAGATCCAGGTTAAAGAGGCTCGATGCATTAACCAAGAAAATCTGAGGGATTCATGGCCATTGGCAAGGAAGGAAATATATTACTGTGTTGTTTAAAAATTAATTGTCATTGTTGAGATATGATCTTTCAAGTGTTGGCCCATTGTGCCCTATAAAAACTGACAACGTTCGTGTTCGGGTAGCGTACAATCAAAGGTAGGCTAATAGCCTAGGCCTACCTTGGCCTATTCTACAGTCCAATTAACTTAAGCTTAAGGACCTAGGCCTTATATAGATCAATTTCTTCTTGCCTTTAACTTAGATAGGTAGGTAGCCTATATCTCTGGGCCTTAACTTAAGCTAGGTTTTTCTCGGCCCGGATTGCGGAAAAGCGAATAACAATGTGTGTTGCTCCGCTTCTAGAAAACAGTAGGCTAATTAAATTACTGTACTTAAGACAAGAATAGCAGCCTGTGTGGGTAAACTTCCATATCTGTTGGCACAAATAACCGAATGAGTGATATTGTTCGATTGTTTAATTCGATATATTGTTTGGTTAGTTAGGTTAGGTTAACCTTACCTACCTAAGTAACCAAACGATACGTATTTATTCCGTATAGGTGCCTCCAAACGAATTTTTAATTTTGATATCTTACTTTATATTTTTTTACCTCCTGAATCCAAATAGGCTATACTATTATTTTTCACCGCTGATGAATATTTCTCAATATATAGCCGCAGAAATATACAACATTACAATAAACAAGGTAGGATGGATAACATTTAGAAGTGGAATGAACTGTGGGTTAACTAAGACTACAGCTGACTGTTTTCAACCACACGACAAGCAACTGTAAAATTACAGTTCTCATTTAGGCATGCCAGGGTGGTAGGTCGTGCTTTATGCGAATTGGTGACTGCATTAAGTGTTTTGAAGTTAGGTTAGATTAGGAAGGTAAAGTTTAGGTTATAATGTATCGAGTTGTTAGTTTATGTCGCCTCTATACTGTTTTTGTAAAATTAAAATCTTGAGAAAAACACTTCAAATTACCTTTTCAAAAATGCTTGCATTTTTATCAATACTTGCATTGTATTGATAATTTCATTTAGGCCTACTGAAAATCAATAATTTAGCTCAATTCGACACACATTCAAATAACAAAATTATATTGTGGAAACGATAGCTTCTTATGTATCGAACCGAATCAAGATCGATACAGGCCTCAATTTATTTATATTTAAAACGATATTAATACATCACAGGTTCTCTGCCAAACTTTACTCCTAGGCATGTACTTGGTTTTTAATTGACTTTGGAGTATCACCATGAATACATGTTTCATCCTAATTTTACTTAGTTAGGCCTAGGCCTGTAGGGGCCTAATAGTCGACAGAGTTAGAAAATAAGCCAAGTCGTAGTTGACAATTTTTTGCTTGGGTTTATCCAAATAAGCAACTCCAATGCAGTGCCCTATTTTCAATTTTTAATAATAGCCAATTGCGTAATGAAGATACCATTTAAGGCTACGATATTGCGTAAATCAAGGCCATTTTGAATTGTAGTACCGTACCTATAAATGTTAGGATCTAGATAACTTATGTCCAATTAATTGTGCTTCTATACCTAATATGTCTTAGGGTAAAAAAACACATACAGCAATTCAGAGCGGAGCAGGCGGGCTGTAGCGTTGAGAGTGTGAGCGACTGATGTCGGACACATGCAGCGACTTAAGCGAGAGCGACACGAATGGGAGCTCGATCATTTCCAAGATACCACAAAGCAAGTTTGCAGCAATTTGCAGCACAGCAAAAAGGCCGCGGCCTTAGAAGTGGCAACATCGCAAGTAGGCTTGTAACAGCTGTTTTGTTTTTTGAGGCAGCTAATAGTATTTGTGTATTTGTTAATAATATGAAAACTTGCTTACCGGTACTGGGCTATGAAAATATGGACTCCCCTTTTAAATGTACAAAAATATATTTTTGATTTTTAAACCTTGTTTTGGTCTTCAATTCTATATGTTTTATTTTCAATCTTTGAATACATTTATGTTCTTAAATCTAAATTTAAATGGATAGTATGCAAATTAATGAGCTGGTGTCATCTGTTTGCCATGTTATCTTATGCGATGTTTGGCGCTAGACAAGTTAAAGGTGGCCGTGGCAAAAGGCTTGGCTTAAAACATTACAAAATGACTATTCACATGTCAAAATTACGTCACAACCCCTTCCCGTTCCAGTATTGCAAAATAATGAAAAAAAAACAGTTACTCTAGACCCCATTATGAATTACTTACCTACTCACTCACATTAAATTTCTGCGAAGATGGAGGTTCCTTTAAAATTTGTCTATTTTGAAGCAAAAGACGCGCATAATAAGTTAAGGATTAAACGTTCTAGAACAGTCAATTGAGCGCGAAAGCCATATCTGTTATCAAAAGGGCCAATTTTTGAAATGCTACAGACAGTTTGGTTAGGTTAGGTTAGTTAAGAACAGTTAGCCTAAATTTCAGAATTCTACTATCAAACCATATTTTGAAATGTTACAGCAAGTTTGATTAGGTTAGATGTAATAGTTTAGAACAATTTAATTTCATAATCAATATTATAGGTGCGGGCAGATAAAAGTGAAGTTGATTCCATCCATTTCGGCTAATGAGGTTAAGAGGCACTACCGTTCCTATACGGTACTAGGTTTTCTTTGAGGGCAATCTGTTTTTAAACAGTTTTAAAAGTAACTGGATTAGGAACGTATAATGTGGCGTCATTTGGAACAGACGTGTGGTAGCGGCGCACATCTGACGTGTTGTTAAGAAGTATTAATCATGATTTATGCAATACCATTCTACCTCAACCTTTGAATGCATTCTTTCAAAAAGAAAAGGTTCGAGAAGGTTCTGAAACACTCTGGGTAAGTTTTGTTTAGGGTGGAATGGGCATACAGAGCAGCCTACTGGGGAAAGTGGACCTAAAAATGTCCACAGAATCGTTGCCCGCTCCGCTCCCAAATGCTAGAAAAACAAACGAGATTGTTCCTAAGTTAACCGTTTCGCTCCGCTATGCTCGCAACAGCAGTTTGTGTGCGTGTTACTACTTGATTGTATTGGTTTGATTTTGTCACTCTAAATCGCGCCGTTCCGCTCTGTTCCCAGTCGCTGTATGTGTGTTTTTACCCTAGGTTAGGCTAGACTGGTCATATAAAGTAACGCTAATCGCATCTTGGGTAGGGGTAGGCTACATACATAACATCATGTATTACAAAAAAAAAAAAATTATAGGCTATGTGGGTAACATATATTGTTTCACGTTGTATAAAATAGCTATGTTAAAATTAACATTTTGGGTCATAGGGCCTCTAGGTTATTTTTAAGAAGAAACTTTTACACTGTTCTGCGGGTATTTGGTTAGCTTAGTTGAGTTTCGCTCGGTTTAGTTCATGGTACAGTAATAACTACCTTCTTTTTAAAGACTAGGTCCCTACTTATCAAAAAGGTTGAATTTAAAAAATGATATTTTGTCATTATCATAAACTAAAATGATTCTAACTAACCTAACCTATATGCAGCAGAGTGGCAGGGCTTTTATAGATATACTGATAATAACAACAGAAAAAAACTATAACGTTGAATGAAATATTTGAATAGGCCTACATATTTATATCAAACAAACATTTCATGCGATAATATATCAAAAGTACTCTGTGAAACTGTTCACTGTGTTTTCCTGCTTATAGAAAGCATCACAAAATAACAGCCAATAGTGCCTTGGTAATCTGATTATTTTTGTATCATAGTCTGATCCGTTAAAACGAGTGTGAAATAATGCTCATCATGTCTTCCTTTCAACACGCTCGCTACCGATTGCCACATATATGCGATGCTGAGATCATTGTCACGGACCAGGGTACATTTTAATATTACACATCTAGAGCGGGTATCACTTGGTTCACAGTACTCACAGACCATGGACCAGTGATGCAGCAAAGTAAAAAAACTGTTTTGCCAACTATCATATAATACCACTAATCATCATTTACATAGACCAAGTGAACTGCTTAGTCTCTTGTTTACATTCTGACTGTGGCTCAACATTCACACAAAGTAACAGCTGTTAAACTACCAGTGGCAATTCAAAGGGGGGGGGGCATAGAGGCTTTAGAAAGCCCCTCACCCCAATTGGACCCTGGAAGTATAAATTCAAACATAAATTTCGTTATAAAAACGTAACGGTGGTTATAGACCTTAAATATGGCTTTAAAAATAGAAAATTGTCCGTGCGAGAAGCTCTTGGACTTCCTTCTGGTGAAGAACACCCTGCAAGCCCCCCATGATAAGGCCCTAGAACCGCCAACTGTAAATTACAATGCAGATTTTAACCTTTATAAAGAAAGTTTGTCATTAAACCAGACATGCTGACCCAAAGATCGAAGATCATTGAAAATGGACTCTGGATATAAATTCAACGTAGAGGGGTCAAAGCCCTAAAGGAAATTACCATTTGCAATTGCAGCTTGATTATTAGCTAAAATTACACCTAACAATTAATATAAAAATCTGACACTTACATTACCTATGTTTTAAAGTAAATTGGCTGGAAAAAGGATGTTACAGGGAAACCCCTTATTGTTTTAAGATTATGGATAATTTAAAATAGTTTTAGACCTACAACTTTTTAGTTTGGTTTCTTAGCTACTATCCAGCGAATTTCTCATATATACAGTATTGGGAATAGACTAAGCTATTACTGTCTCAGGTCTCATGGTAAGACATAGACCTGGGACTACTTTAATATTTAGTTTTGATGTTCCAGTGGCAAAAAACCCTATCCGTTCAGATTCATTTATATACCATCCAATTTCAATGAAATTTTGTACAAATCTGGTCAGACGAGAGAGCGCAGAACTATGATCGAACTACAGGAACAGGGTAATGGGTAAAATTTTGTTTTTCTCATTTTAGACCATATCAAAATAAAATATTTTCTCTCTAAACCATTTTGAACAGCGTGAAAAACAAGTAAATTAGTACATTGGAATATTGTTGTACGGTTATTTAATACAGGGAAAATATAAAATATCCCCACCGCAGTAAACCTGCAGACTAAGAAAATTTCCATTTTCCTAGCTGGATTTCTACTCAAATATTTCCTTAAAATTCTCAGATTTATTTCCTATTTTAATAACATTAATTTTAATGAGTTCTTAGGTTTGCTGCTACAGGGAAGGTATTGAGGTGTTTTTTAATTGAAATGTTGATAGCTTAGTATGATAGCGTTGATAGCTTAGTAGTACAAAAATGGCAAATTTGATTAACCATAAACAAGCAAACTAAAACAGTTTATTTATTCCCCATAAGAATAACATGGGAATTTTAAATTTACAATTTATTTAATCATCTCTGTAACCGTTAGGCATACAAATACTCTTCAATATACAAAATTATTTCCTTTTTTAATTTCCACAAAACGGTTTGGAAAGAAATTGTTAAATTTTGTGTTTTTAGGGTCGAAAATGGGAAAAACCAATTGTTACTCCATAAAACCCCCCACAAACCCCCATTCTCATAGTCCGATCATGCTTGTTTGCAAACTTGTTCGAATAAACGTAGGTTTACACGTTTGTACCAAATTTCATGAACATCGGATAATTTTTGCTTGAGCATATATAAGCATATAAGCATATAAGGGTTGGCATATAAGTATAAAATGCTTGTTGCAGTAATACTCAAGCTTTGCGTTTGCAATTGGGAAGGACACAGTTTGGTAAAATTTTTTTTTAAGAGGTTAGCGGCCTCTTTTAACCTTGCATTTGCCCGTCCACATAGACTACAGATCTGTGCGTGGAACGTATCCAGCAAAGCAAGGGGTGAGCCGGTACAGACTGATAAAAGTTAGTGGCAGTGAACCAGGATCCGAACCCACGACACTACTGCCTTGGGCCCGAAGTCCGCGACGCTACCGACTGAGCCACCGACTCACCAAATTTTGTTCTTTAAATTTACGGCATGCTATAGTATAACACATATACCATAGCCATAATGTTCTACCACTGCACCTAAACCTTAGAAAATAATAAACTATCAAACATTTGCACAATCACAAATCATTCAATAAATTAAAAACATAAAACATAACTGTAAACAATCCTACTTTGACAGTTCCCATTGCATATAAGTTTTTGTTTCTGCCTTGCAGTGGTTACCATAGGTTGTGGCACACACCGCTGGGAGCGCCAAGTAGTTACGTAGCGCGTAACTACATGGGGCAGCTCCCAGCGGTGTGCTGTGCGCCATAACCTATGGTAAACGCAGCACAGCTGACAGTCTATATTTAATTCTTTTTGTCTATGATATCATAGAACCAACTTAAATGGTTGAAACAGCTGACTAAATTCTTCAATTCCTTTTAAATATGAGTACTTATAAGGTTAACATGGGGAACGACAGAGCCACTGGGTCGGAGCCCGATAGGATTTTTCAGATAAGATTAGGCCAATATGTTAATCGGGAATGTGAGCTATCATCGTGCCAAATTTCAGCCCAATCTATCCAGTAGTTAAAGCGTGATTGAACTTAAAACAAACAAACAAACACACAAAGTTTCACATTTATAATATTAGTATGATATGCAGGGTGAAAAAAAGTCTGGAAACGGCTTAATATCTGTTTAACCAAATCCGTTATAAAATTCAAACCTTTCACATAAACTTACATGCATGAAAAATACTTTTTGCAAGCATTACCATTTTTTTACCTTCACCAGGGGATGGCCCATGAGGAGTAGGTGTTACCACTACATTATACATGACATTATAATGTTTAACCAAATCCGTTATAAAATTCAAACCTTTCACATAAACTTACATGCTTGAAAAATACTTTTTGCAAGCATTACCATTTTTTTACCTTCACCAGGGGATGGCCCATGAGGAGTAGGTGTTACCACTACATTATACATTACATTATATTTTCTATTTGTTCTGTACTATTAATTTCCCTTTTTACTTTGTATTTAATATCATATGTTCAGCTGTTTTATGTTTTTTATATTTTGTAAAAAAAATATCAATTACATTCTGTTGTTCATCCAAACAAGACCTATCTCTCTCTTCTCTTTCTTTTATAATATACTGTTTTATTATTCAAATTACCAACAACCTGTGTTCTGCCAATAATAATATATTTAACTATGATGTCCTCCTCCGGTTTGGAAGTGGTGGAGGACAAAACGAATGATATTAGTGATGGCGGGGGCAGCGGTGTTAACAGTAGGTACATAATCTTTAATGTAAGCATAGGTTGATATGCACATCATTTTAAAGGTCTGGTCAAGTGGAGTTCATTGCCGGAAACCGAGTCAAAAAAGATCCATCCGTTTTAAAATGGTGGCAGTCCAATGTTCTTGCGGAAAATACCTGCACAGGCCTTAGTATTGGTAAATACTCGTATTAAACATTAGCTTGAGAGCTGAAATTGTATTTTAAAGTCAGCTAGCTCATAGACTAAGTTTATTCAATCTTCAAAACAAATTTAACCGGGTTTCAGATTTCCCGGCTAATGTTGACTATGAGTATTTACCAACTCTAAGCCTGTGCAGGTATATTCTGCAAGAACTTTGGACTGCCGCCATTTTGTAACGGATTAACCTTTTTTGACACGGTTTTGGGCAATGAACTCCACTTGACCAGACCTTTAAAAAGATGTGAATATAAACCTATGCTTAAATTAAAGATTATGTACCTACTCCCCATGGGCCGTCCCCTGGTGAAGGTAAAAAAATTGTAATGCTTGCAAAAAATAGTTTTCATACATATAAGTTGGTGTGAAAGATTTGAATTTTTTAACGAATTTAGTTAAAAAGATATCAAGCCGTTTCTAGACTTTTTTGTCACCCTGTATATATATATGAGTTTAAACAGAGTGTGTTTTGGCCTCTGGGGCCATAAAGGAAAAAGTAAATCGGTCCCGGGTCTAGGTCTCACCATGAGACCTATGGTAATAGCTTATTCCCTGTATAGGAAATTTGCTAAAATAAAAATTCCCACGGTATTTTTTTATTTTATACTAAGCTATTAAGTATTTTACTAAAAATTACACTTTATTACTCTCCATGTATTAGCAAACCTAAGTACTTGTCAAACCTTATGTTACCTATTTAAATAGATTAAGTGAAATTCAAATAAGGCAAATTGAATTTCGCTTAGTCTGCAGGTTTGCTGAGTTGGAGGTATTTTTTAGACCCAATTCATGATGTACTGAATGTTTAAGATAAAAAGAGTCCCATATTTTAAAACAAAACAATACTTCCATCGATGTAAAACTTTGAAATTGGGGACCCTCTTTAGGATTTTAAAGTTAAATTCCATAATAACAAGCAACCAATTAAAATTTACACTACATTGCATTAAAATCCAAGTTCAATAGCACTTAGAATGTAAAAAAGGGTCACACTTTAAGTTTAAATATTGGTTTTAACTAACTTACAGCATAGCAGAGTCCATGATTACAAGTGCTGTATTGTGTACTGAATTCTTTGAGTATAGGTAACTGATTTGTATGTCAAGTAACAGTCTAATGAACACCAACAAGCTTTAAGATTTCTGCAGGAATGCCATCAGCTAAACATGTTGAACAAGATCAACATGTTTCACTAGATCAAATATAATCATCATGAAATTGCAAATATTAACATTTTGGGCCATAGGGCCCAGGTTATTTTTAAGATGAATCTTTTACACTTAGCTTAGTTGAGTTTTGCTAGGTTTAGTTCATGGTAATAACTATAAAAATAGTTATAAGAAAAACTAAGAAGTATTGATTGTGTGGCAGTGGTTTAGGGTTGAATATAGCCGTCTGTATAATTGTTGTTACTTTTTTACAATGTAAAGTAAGATTGTAGTCACCAGGTGCTCTTCCATTTCTCAGGGATCAGACAACGAAGGATAGTTCCTCTTCCCGAAAAGCTGGTAACACGCCCTAATCTCCAAATTCCCTTGCTGGTCACGGTGGGTGCTTTGGAAATAACACTTCAATGACAGTAGCCACGGCGACAGGTTCCATGATCCATGACCGTAGGGGGTGATCAAGTCACTAGCTTTTGGGTTACAATCTTGTAGCCTATCACCCAAGGATTATTCTGGATGTCCTGATACAGTTGCTTCCAGTACCTGATGTTACTCCTGTTGATATCACCATGGTCATCTCACATGGGGGCCTTGTGCTCTGCCGATCTAGCATTACCTTCAGGCCGGTTTCTGGCATGCTGCGCTGCTCGTCAGAGCCCTAGGCACATTCTCTGGGGTCCTGCAATCTTGGGTTTCCACCAGTAAACTGGCTTCTTTCTGCGGTGGGCGAAAGTCCTAGGCATGGAACAGTCAAATGCCGAAGATGGTGGGACGCATCTTCAATGTGGCTTGAAATTCGGCACTTCTAATGTCCCCTACAGTTTGATTTTTGATGTAACCCTGAAAAGTGGCCTGGCAAAGACGACTGAGGTCCCAACATTGAGACGGATGAGCTGAATTGACATATGGATACCCAACTCAGGAAAGCTCGGGAAGTTCCCTGAAGACGATTGCCTGATAAGTCCCTTGCAGAGTAGTCCTTGGAGACTCACCAGTCCGTGACTGGTGGGCTAGGGCGTCAGATGCCAGAGAGATGTTAGGGATCATCTTTCCTTGCCAGGGGTGACAGATGATGAAAATGTCACCTGTATTAAGGATATATGAAGGTAGCCTGGCTGCCATCTCTACAACATACTGACCCTCTGTGTTTGTTTGGGGTAAACCCCATTCCACCGCCCTAGCAATGAAATCCCTTCAAACAGTCACCTCACCAACACCATCGATTTTTAAGATCTCGTCCTCCAGAGAGTTGACCATCTGACAGTACTCTGCAATGTGCTGGTTGGGTGTGAAGTAGCAGGAGAAAAAAATACTTGATACAAAATATTTACTCCTGCATAATAATTTTGCATTTAAAACTATCTTACGATATGGTAAAGTAAAGTAATAGGGCTACAGTAGTAACGAATGCGTAAATACAGTGTTAACGTCACGAGTAGAAAATTTAAGGTACGACCCTTGGCGAGGGCTTTAAAAACTTCTACGTGTGTCGTTAACACTATTTACGCGAGTTGCGTACACCACTTTACCTACGACAGTGTTATAATTACTTAAAATCACTACTCATAACTTCTAAGAAGAGAGGTTATGTTTTCGTTTATAGTATCATAGCCACTGAAAATTATGGAACTAAACATTGTACCAAACACTGATTGTTAAGCACCACTCGACAATTAAATTAGCCGATTAGTTCGAATCATTACAATTTTAATTCCTCTATCTCAATAGTTGAACCCATCGTGGAAGGAAAATACAAAGGTGTGCTATTCCCGTAATTTGCTGTTGAAGTCACAGTCACCAAGATTGCAAACACCATTTCACCATTTAGAAAAAAAAATATAAACAATAACAATCAAATCAAAAACAAATATATATATTTAAATATGGCAATACTGTACAGTCAGGTGATTTTTCGTTTGCAATCTGGGTGACGTCAGAATATGACGGGAATAGCACACCTATGTATTTCCTTCCACCATGACTTGAACCTCATTGGTCCGTTACCTGTGTTATGATAAAACTATGATGTTATGAGAAACTTTTAAATTCTAACAATTGAACTGAAACGGCTATTTTAATAAACGGTCGTAGGTAAATGTATTAAAATGTGAATCCAAATATATAAAGTTTTAAAACTGTTTCGGGTTAACATTTGTTTGATCATTCACACAACAAATTCAGCAGTATCTGATGGTTCAAAAATAGTGTTTCCTCCCATGCAACACCTAAAAGGTTTAAATTCTTGTATTTTGAAATGTTTATAATTCTTATGGGTCATGTAAGGGATGTCCTTACCCTCAATGTATAATGGTTCTCACTGTTATAATTTATTTCTGAATGTTGTAGAGTAATGAAACATCACAAAGTAATTGTTGGAGTTTCTATAGATTGACAAACCTAATATTATTTAGCATTTTCGAGCAATATTGCTGCTTTTTAACCGACTTCCCCACTACCAACAAAAGGAGGAGGTTCTCAATTTGTTTGTGGCGATGTTTTTTTTTTTCTATGTATGTTCACTAATTTCTCTGTGATTCTTTTACCGATCAGTGTGGTTCCACCACCAAAATAACCAGGAGAGTTTCTATTTGGTACCTTATATATTATGTTTAAGTATAATATTTGTTTCGGTGAAAGATTCTGAAAACCTTAAATATTCAACATTTATTTTGTTTACATTTGTGCAGATTGTTTACATTTGTGCAGGGAAGGCAATAAATAATAATAACATTCCTACAGATGTTAGTTGAAACCATTTAAATGAAGCTACAGACAATGCTTTATGAAACAGTTGCTTCATATTGATCAATAAACTATTTCTTGCCATGGAGCCTAAATGTGACACATTGAGAAAAATGCATTTTGTTTTGGTTACTATAAAAAAAGATATTTTAATGTTTGACCTGATTTGTGTATACAGTAATTCTGTTTTTAGTATTGAATATTCTGACTTACAAAAACATATATGTTTCAGTGAATAGCTGTATGATATTGACAAATAAAGGTGTATTGTAAAAACCAAAGCATTCGTAAAATAGTTCTAAATATAAATTAAATGTAATTATTCCTTACACGACCTAAGAAGTGTGACAGTGCATAATCGTCAATTGTCTTAAAAGTGTTAAATATTTTAATTACTAAACATGCATTTGCAGATGTGGAATGTTTATTGATATGCTTCGGAAAGTCCTAGAGGAAGATGATTTGCAATTTCGACTAGGCTGTATCTTGAGCAAACAAAACCCCCTACATGACTTACACCACTTTAAGCTAAACCAATCTTTCATATAATATTTTCCAAAGGTACTATACGTGTTAACGACCAATTTTCCACTTTTGAGAGATTTTTTAGTGCTGGTAGCTGAGGAATAACTTTCATATTGTTCCAAAAGGCTTGAGACGTTACTGTATTTCTTTTTATAACGTAGAAATACACCGATTGCAGGAAACGATGATGTCTGACATTTCAATGTATCTAGAAAAGACAATTAGTTTTTCATTAGGCCTAATGTAATGGAAAACTCTTTCTTTCTTAAGGAATATCTAAAGATGTTTATTTCCATACCCATTGATTATGTAACCTGAACAGGTGACTCAAGCAGTTTTTAAATAATGATTGTTCTGTGGAACTTTTGATTGTTTCAAACAGTTCTGCTTATCAAAAAACCTCAAGTAATTAATATATAAAAAATTATACAGTCACTAAAAATCATGAAATAATTTATTTTTGTAAAAAAATACAACCGACTTCAAACGCTCTAAAAAGAATGAAATAATTTCAATAAAGTAAACTTTTGTACTAGGCAAGCTCACGTATTTCAAGTCGGCGCGGCTCTATGATGATTTTTGATACAAAATTGAAAGAGGGTGTCCATATTGCAGGTGACTATCTATAACTAAAGGTGTTAATCTGCATGTCTTTTTCATAGTTATGCGTTAAGTGTTATTTTATTACCGTAATCAGAGATCGGCATTATAGTGGTATTAACGAATATCTTTAAAATGATTATAACGCATTTAAATGTTTCTAACTTGGAAAAGTAACGTTTTAATACTAAACTAGCTTCTTTTCCCTATCATAATATCAAACTAAATTATTTTCCTATTCATATAGATTAATTATTCTGAAGTAAACATAAAATATAAGAAAATATTTCCTTTAATATATAAACTAGGGTTGCTTTCAGAGAGGTGAAAGCCAGTTGAGCGGAACAAACGTGATTTGATATTTGTATAAGTAACTAAATGCAAAAAGGTCAATAGATTTATTTACTAATGCTGGTTTTAAAGACTAAAATTATAATAATTCAAATTTACCTCTTCGAGAAGTGTAAGGTAGTTTTGACCAGGAAAATATTACAGTAGTTGGAATCTGATATTAACATCCAAAAAGGGCATTAAAGTATAAAAAAGAGAAAGGAAATTTTATCAACATTTGAAATGACTGAATTGTTACCAAATAACTGTTTCACAAAATGCAGATTCCATTTTCTGCCGAGCCATTAAAATGAGGATTTGCCGAACAATTATTAATATTACAGAATAGTATATAATTATATACAACTTTTCACATTCCATAAATTATATGTTAGTTTTGCTATGGTCAAAGATCCAAAACCAAATGTTCTCTTTTCTTTTGGTCAGTATGTAATAATTTGCTAGAATCATTGACTTTATATAAAGTCAAAGCTAGAATACTGTAGATGGTTTGTTAAGTTAAGACCATATGCAAGCATTTTTGAAATCGTTTCCCCGTTTAACCTTAACCAACTATTCCATTCCAAAAGATAAAAATTATATGGTGCAACACAAATAAACAACCCGATCACCTACCTATAACCTACACTTTACCTTCCTAATCTAACCTTACTTCAAAACACTTAATGTAGTCACGAATACTCATAAACCCCGACCTACCTCCCCACCTGCCTAAATTAGATCAGTGTTCAATCTGCGTTTTATCAATAAGTGTAATAACTTACTGTACCGTCGATGTAATTCAACTTAATATAACCTATGAGGTATTATCGGATTAAATACCGATTTCGATGCGGTTCGATATATCGCTTATTAAATCCTGATTTCTAACATTGGCTGTTTCTAATCAGCTGGCAACACAAATAGGTTCCCAAGAAAGTAGTCACCGGTCCGTATCCCTCCGCTCCTTGTTTATGCTCCGCGCATTGAGAAAGTAGTTCCGTATAATTTCTCGATTTTCAGTGAATTCCGCGCCTTAAAAAATGTTTTAACGGCATTTTCTTGTTTATTAAAATTATAGGAATGGTTTAAAAACGTTTAAAAGAAAAGTATAGAAAGTTCAGAAATACCTTATGATTCTCTTGTTTACATTTTTCTTGTAAACAAAAAAACTGTCATAGCTACTTTAGTCCCATAAGCCTAATGTTAAAAATTTGAAATTTTAAGTTCGTTTTAAATTGCATTAGCATTATCTAATTGAAATTTGTTTGTTTACAAACCATCTCATTATTAGTCTAAGTAGTCTTGTTAAGTTTGGCTGAAATGTGTTCAGCCGTTATTGAGTGATGGTGTTATATTGTTTGCATTGAAGTTGATCCCAAAGAGCTTCGCTCGCTTCGCTCGCTCCGCTCAACAAAACAGTTCAGTATGTTTTTTATATATTTATGTTATCCAGCTACAATTTATTGATTTTTAAAATACACACACAATATTTAATTTCAATCATATTTGCAGTTTGAGCCGCGCCAACTTGAAACACGTGAGCTTGCCTAGTACAAAAGTTTACTTTATTGAAATTATTTCATTCTTTTTAGAGCGTTTGAAGTCGGTTGTATTTTTTTACAAAAATAAATTATAAATACATCGAAATACATTCAGTGATTATACATAGTTCCTTAGTGAATTTTCTCAAACCTGCCTAATGACCTTAAACCAAGGTCCCTTTCATATACCAACTCCATGATTCCTGGTCCTGCTTTAATGACGCAAGTCCAAAGTACAGTAAAGAAAATGCTTTGGTGAAAAAGTATTATGGATTTGGTGTTAGTGCCTTAATGAAGTTAAAACTGCTTGAGCAGCTGATCAACTGATATGAATGTGGATAGGCCTACTGTTAAATAACATTTTTTTATGTATGAAATGGTCTTCGTTCATTCTCATACGTGACTTCGGAGCGTACTCCTAGTAGTATTTACCCATTGTAATATGGATAAATACTACTACTAACTCACACAATACACGACTATACACTTCATTTACACTAAAACACTTTTGATGATAAATACACAAATAGTAACGAAAAACCACACTAATAACCTTTTTGTTATGATGGCGAGCAGAACACAAATGTCGACACAACGCTTGTTTTTCCAGTTGCGACGAATGCCACCTGAATCTCATAACTAAACGTCATCACTACATAGAGAAAGAGCGTTTTCTTAGCTTCAAAGAGGCATGACTGTCATTCCTCTATGTCAATTATTGAATTATTTATTTGTTATTTAGAAAACACATGTTTTTTTTTGTTTGAGCAAAAACTCACTCTGACAAAACAGTTGATTTCAAAAATACTTCCTAACGTTGTATGACAAAGTTCTCTATACGAAAATAAAGAAGAACTCAAGCTCTTTCCAATGGTACCAACCACTTCCTGTATAGGCCAAAATTACGACTTGTAGATTTTTTTCAAGAAAACATGTTTTACGAGATTTTGCCGATCGCGGCTTGAAAATTTTACGCACGCAAAATACTATTCAAATTATAACATAATTTTTATTGATCTGTTAGTGCTACGAGGTTCGTTTATATATGAAAATTAAAGTTCAGAAACTCTTCTTTCCAACGGTGTTCAGTAAACTTTAACCATTCATATTATTTAACACTCTATGTTTTATTTAATGTACATCTCTTTTCCTTGCAACTAACATGTGTTCTTAATCAAATGAAATTATTCTCTATTGCTAACACATGTTGTGTATCAAAAAGTAAATAAAAACAGTGCTTGTTCTCCTATCCCAAAAGTGTGTTCATTTTTTTCTCATCTTATAATCTCCATTTAATTTCATTCTCTACAAAACATTCATTGGTCCTAATCGAGCCTGGATTTTGAATTTCAGTCTTTGGATTCAATTTTCAGAACACTTTCAAGCTATCGAAATATCTTTATTTTATCATTCAATCTCTTTATGTTTCTCCCCACTCTCATAGTGTCACAAACTCTATCTAATTCTTAGTAAAGTTTCACTCCATCTGTTTTGTCCAATATGGCTACCAGATCAATTTCACTCTCAAACTTCAACAAATCAACCCTTCTCATACAAAATTCTTTTGAAAAGATTCTCAAATCTGTACAAGAGCTTGAAACACTTTCCCCCTCAATCTTGTCAGTGATACAAATCAGAACTTTAAACAACTTCTCGAACCAGTTAGAAAAGAAACATGAAGCCTAAAAAAAGATGAAAATTACCTGGAAAGAGCCTTGGAACATATATCAGAAGAATTAGATTTGGATGCAGTAAGTGACACTGAAGACAAACTGCGACTGCTATTCGTCGAAGCCAAGTCTCGGATTGAAGCCCTTCTCCAACAGCAGCCGCAAGATGTTCCAGAAGAAAGTAAAGATTCAACAAGAATTAGTGACATCTCAGCTTCATCATCTGCTCACGTAAGACTCCCAAAACTAGACCTCATCACGTTTGATGGTTCTCCTCTACAGTGGGTAAGTTTCATCAACTTATTTGACACTAGCATCCATCTGAATGAAAGCATTTCAAACGTCACTAAATTTCAATATCTTCTCAGCAAGCTCAAAAATGAACCACTAAATCTCGTAAAAGCTTTCAGTATCACTTCAGCCAATTACTCAATTGCCTATCAGCTCCTCAGAGACAGATACCACAACACCCGAAGGTTAACTACACTTCACCTAAACAAACTGATCGACCTACCGGACATTTCCTCTACCTCAAACAAATGTCTCAGAACGTTCCTCAACTTGTTTTATGAACACACAGAAGCACTTAAAGCTCTTGACTGTGACATTACTTCTAACTCTAACCCTCTGTTGTCCACCATACTCTTACGAAAACTAGACAATGACCTTCTAAAACAACTAGAGGCTTTTAGAATTAATATAAAATGCGAAACACATTCTCTACCAGAAGTAGTCGAAATAGTCAAGTTTCTTAATCAAGAGTGTAACCAAATGGAAGACGCTGTGTTACATACCAAGTTTGCTCAAAGTACGAACAACCACAATTCAAATTTTAAACCCAAATCTTTCACATCCAAGCCCTCTTTCATTCAAGCTCAGAAAGTTACAATGGTCTCTACTCCAACTCCATCAAATCAAGACAACTCAAAAAATCCTTTCTCATTTCCCTGCTTTGTCTGCTCATCAACTGGCCACAAGGTTTATGCTTGTCCTAGCTTTCTCTCTCTTTCTTCAAATGAACGTTGTGAAACCGTAAAGGACAACAACAGATGTGTCTCTTGCCTCGGAAAACATGATGTTAAAACATGTAAGTCTAAAGCATCTTGCTTCAAATGCCACAAACGTCATCACACCTTACTTCATTTTGAACATGACAAGACATCTCAAGGTTCTACATCATCACAACCATCAACCACTCATGTTTCGAATGAAAAACCTACCGTATCTCTTTGCTCACAGGAAGCCAGTCCTGCTAATCAAATCCCTAAAACTGTAATTTTAGGCACAACACTGGTTAAAGTTACTGCTCAAAATAACGTTTCTCATGTGTTCAGAGCATTGATTGATAGTGGCAGCATGTGTGATTTTATTAGTGAAAAAACTGCTCAACTACTGAATGCACCTCGTTTCAAATCCAACTTACAAGTAGTTGGTCTTTCTCAATCTCCAACTCTCACAAAGGGTATTGTGAACCTCACTGATAACACACTGGCAGGAAAATTAGTTGCATCCAACCATGAAGTGCACATACTTGATAAAATATCTGTCAATCTCCCTAGATCTCAAATATCACAAAGAGTTCTATTGAAAGTAAAACCTTACCCCCTTGCTGATCCCAGCTTCCACTTATCAGGGCCCATTGACATGCTGATCGGAGCTTCTCTCTTCCCTCTTCTTTTAACGAATGAAAACTATTCTCTCGGCCCTAACATGCCTAACATGATGGGAACTCACTTTGGCTTTGTTGTTATGGGGAATGCACCTTGTTCAACCGATTCCCAGCCTGCCAACACTCCATCCATCTCTCTGCTCTCAACGGTTGACAACGAATTGCATAACTCTCTACAGAAATTTTGGAAATTAGAGGAATTATCTGTACCCTCAAAGATATCGGTTGAAGAGCAACAGTGTGAAGATCTGTTTAAAGCTACCCACTCTAGGGACGAAAATGGCCGTTACTTAGTTCAGCTACCATTTAAAGAAAATCATCCACCTTTAGGATCTTCCAAACTCATCGCAGAACGACGTTTTCACTCACTTGAACGACGTTTTACACTCTCTCCTGATTTGTATAAAGCTTACTCTGACAATATAAATGAACACATCTCTCAAGGTCATATGGTAAAACTACCTCATCTAGATATCAACTCTCCTCACTATTTCTTGCCACACCATGCAGTTGTGAAACCATCCAGTACCTCAACTAAACTCCGAATCGTTTATGATGCAAGCTGCAAAACCAGCTCTGGAATTTCCCTAATGATTCTCTCATGACCGGCCCTAAATTACAGACCAACATTTGTGATATATTGCTACATTTCAGAATACACAATATCGTTTTCACTTGCGATATTCGCCAAATGTATCTTCAAATCTTAATCAAACCTTCCGATCAACTGTTCCAACTCGTCTTGTGGCGTGACAATCCCTCTGAAGATATATCCACATACAAACTCACTCGAGTGACTTTTGGAGTAAATAGCTCACCCTACTTAGCGATTCGTACCCTCCACCAGTTAGCTGAAGACGAAGGTAAAGACTTCCCTGAAGCAGAAAATGTCTTGCGCACTCAGACTTACGTAGACGACATTGTAACTGGAGCAGACACGGTAGATGAAGCAAAGAACCTTCAAAATCAACTCATTCAACTACTCAACCGTGGACACTTTGAACTTCGAAAATGGACTTCAAATTCTCCCGAGCTTCTTCAGTCTCTTCCAGACACTCATAAAGACTCTCCAGTCTTTCTTGAAAATACACCTGATCCCCATTTCTCAATTCTTGGCCTACACTGGTCTCCAGACTCGGACAATTTTTCATTTCATCTCAACCTACCGCCAAAAACACTAACTAAACGTCACGTTCTCAGTCTAGTCGCTAAAATATACGATCCTTGTGGATTTCTTAGCCCATGTACTATGACAGCGAAATGTTTTATTCAACTTCTCTGGACGACCGGTCTACAATGGGATGAAACTCTCACTCCAGAACTTAGTGCAATTTGGAGTAACTTTATCTCAGCGATACCAGCACTTGCAGACATTCAGATCCCTAGAGCATTGAAAATCTCTCCAAATTCTAGTGTTGAACTTCACGGCTTCTCAGACGCCTCTGAACGTGGGTTTTCAGCTGTTGTCTATGTACGATGTTCCCAACCCAATGGAGAAGTGACTACACGTATGGTTTTATCTAAAACTAGAGTCGCCCCTCTCAAGAAGGTGACTCTTCCACGATTAGAACTCTGCGCTGCCCACTTATTAGCTCAACTCGTAAACTTCTGTTGTTCTTCATTCAAACCCTTAATTTCACTCAACCAATGTTATTTGTGGTGTGATTCTTCAGTAACCTTGACATGGCTTCAAACTCCATCTTACAGGCTGAAAACATTCGTGGCTAACAGAGTCGCCCAAACACAAGAACTTGTCCCCTATCACTGTTGGCGTTATATCCCTAGCAAGGAAAACCCTGCTGATTGTGCTTCAAGAGGTATTCTAGCCACTGAGCTTGTGTCTCACCCCCTTTGGTGGTCAGGGCCTTCTTGGCTTTCTCTTCCCCCTTCAAACTGGCCTGATGTAACTTTTTCACCTACAGATATCTCAACATTAGATGAAGTAAAACACACTCCTCTAACTGTACTTGTGTCAACTACCACTGAATCTACGCTGACCAATCTTCTCATTAAATATTCTTCATGGGAACGACTTCTTAGGATTTTTGCTTACGTCCTTCGTTTCATACACAACTGTAAAGGTTCTGAAAAACGCCAAGGTTTCATCTCAACACAGGAACTGAAAGACACAAAATATCACATTTTTAAACTTGTACAAAAAGAAGTATTCACAGAAGAAATCAACTGCCTCAAACGGAAATCATTTTGCTCCACTCGTTTACAACGTCTTTCACCTTTCATTGACTCATTTGGATTATTGCGTGTTGGAGGACGTCTTTCTCAGACATCACTTCCTGAAGATGCTCGACATCCCATTATTCTGCCAAAAAAGCATCATGTGGTAAATCTCCTCATTGACCACTACCATATCTACAATCTTCATTCAGGCCCTCAGCTTACTCAAGCATTACTTTACAAACATGTTTGGATACTGTCTGCCCGTTGTGCCATACGCTCTCGTATCCATAAATGTGTCAGATGTTTCAAAGTCAAACCTAGAAATGTGTGTCCTCTCATGGCTGATCTCCCTCAGTCTCGTGTAACTCCTGCTCGACCTTTCCTCCACACCGGCATAGATTATGCAGGACCTTTTACTGTAAAAATCTTCAACCTCAAGGCAGTGAGACACATAAAGTCATACTTTTGTACTTTCATCTGCCTCGTCACGAAAGCTGTACATTTGGAAGTAGTAACAGACCTAACGACTGAATCTTTCATTGCTGCAATGACTCGATTTGTATCTCGCAGAGGACATTCTTCCGACATTTACTCGGATTGTGGGTCCAACTTCATTGGTGCTGACTCTACCCTACGCAAGATTGTTGAAAAATCTCTTTATTGTCAAGACTCCAAACGGAAGATTCAACGATTCTCTTCACTTAAAGGCATCAATTTTCATTTTAATCCACCAGCCGCTCCGCATCAAGGAGGATTGTGGGAATCGTCTGTAAAGAATGTGAAACATCATCTCCGTCGAGTAATGGGAAACTCAGTCTTAACACTCATTGAATTCATCACATTGTTGACCCAAATCGAAGCAATGCTCAATTCCCGACCACTGACACCTCTTTCAAATGATCCTTCGGATCTCGCAGCACTGACTCCCGGACACTTCCTGATTGGTGCACCCCTCACAGCAGTACCTGAACCTAATCTCCTGACAGTTCCTGAAAACCGTCTCAAGCAATGGCAGCTAGTTCAAGCATTTCATCAACGCATATGGCATAGATGGCACCTAGAATACTTAAACAACTTGCAACAACGTACCAAGTGGACTCGGAAATCAAAAAATCTTGAAGTGGGTGACCTTGTTCTGGTACATATGGACTCACCACCTCTCTCGTGGCCTCTCGCTCGAATTACAGCAGTTCATCCAGGGGCTGATGGGGTTGTGCGAGTGATAGACTTAAAAACATCAAGTGGCAACCTCAGAAGATCTGCCCACAAAGTGTTTCCCCTGCCAACTGTGGATTCGTGAACTGTTTTTGTTGAATCCACTGGGGATTCAAGGCCCCCGGTATGTTCAGTAAACTTTAACCATTCATATTATTTAACACTCTATGTTTTATTTAATGTACATCTCTTTTCCTTGCAACTAACATGTGTTCTTAATCAAATTAAATTATTCTCTATTGCTAACACATGTTGTGTATCAAAAAGTAAATAAAAACAGTGCTTGTTCTCCTATCCCAAAAGTGTGTTCATTTTTTTCTCATCTTATAATCTCCATTTAATTTCATTCTCTACAAAACATTCAAACGGTATCAAAATTATTATGTCCTGGATCATTTTCATTGCATCATTCATCATTGACCTGATGCCATAGACAAAAAAACTTAAAGTAACATATTAAAATAGGTAGGAGTTTATAAAAAATAATGTAAAATTTCTAAAGATCATCCTTAATGTAAACAATCTTAAACAAAATATAGTAAGTAGAAAATCTCTAATTTAATTCATCATAGCAATGTACTTAATGTTTGAAATGAATGTTTTAGATGTATCTACAGTGTGCCATCTGTTGAGAAGCCTACTCCCTAAGTGCATCCGCAAGAACCGTCATCAACACGGCTGATGTTCTTGCTGATGCAAGAACGTGCATCAGCAAATGTGTTTGGCGTTGAACGAATAAATCACGTCAGCAGCGAGCAACAATGAGGACAGATGAGAGTCACACGAGCCATCAATGAAGATACCTTCATAGCAAATTAAATTTGTAGCCAGTGGCAGTGCCGTGAAAAGGAAACTACCACCTCAAAAGGCGACTAAGCGTCCTATGTCAAGCGTATTGTCAAGTCCATCATCACCTACAAGTACAAGAACAAGGCTGACGCAGTATTTGAAAAAGAACTTCAATCAGCCAAAGACTATGTTATTGGAAACAATGAAAACATCCGCAAGTGCCTACCGCCATTCATTGAAGCTGCTAATGAAGTGGTGTTCGAGATACTACAAAATGAGCTGCTTTTCAGCAAATCCCTCAAACATAAAATTGTACTAGAGCAGTCTGAATGACACTGCGAACTTATGAATTTCAAGACCACATCGAGCCTTGTACACAGCGCCTGTGATGAGCTACAACAGATGCTGAAGAAAGATGCCTCCAAACTGCTCCGTGAAGTGTCTGAAGCGCAGGCGAAAGGCAGTGGATGGACTCTGCATGAGATCAAGAGCCTCACACTAAGACTTAGCAAGTTTTCTTATGCTCTGCCTGTTGGCAGTGGGTATCTGCCACTGTTTCCAAAGATTTGTAAAAGGAAATGTATTGTAAATGTAAAAAACAGTGACGACCGCTGTTTTATGTATAGTATATTAGGTAAAAGTATTCCCAACGTACGTCATGACTCGGTGCTTACTGAGCATAGCTTTAGGAAATGTGAAAACAACTGTCAAGTTGTAACTTTGATGGTATTTCTTTCCTAACACCAATTCCTCAAATAAAAAAAAAAATGAAAAAAACAAAACACACTTTTGAACTAGATTAAGAAGCCCATATTCTCCCCTCATGATAGTTGATGAGCAGGAAGACCACTTTGATCTCCTCCTCATTAGAAATGATGAAGGTGTGGCACATTTTACATTAATATTAGATTTCACAAAGCAACCACAAATTACAAAAGGCAGCAATAAAATCACAATCTGCTAAAGGTGTAGCACTTCAAAAGAAAACAGGTGTTGTGTTCTGAAAACTCAGTACTGGCTAAGTGAGCATCTAATGCTCTGTGGAAAATTAAAACCTTGTAAAGTGATATTGCCGGAGCAGCAAAAAAGTAAAATTGTAAGGCTTGTTAGCTATGAGATGCAAGTTAAAGTACCGATTGTAGTCACAGCTGATTTTAAAACAACACTCTATCCAGTTCCCTAGACATACAATGCTTATCAATTACACGAGGCAAACTCTTTTGCATATATTGTAGCAAGTAACCCACCCAAAGAGCTGCTAGATGAACCTTACATAAAAACCTCTCCCTACATACACGGATCGGAATTGGCTGCAAGAGAATTTCTTATACAAATGCCGGAGTTAGCTGTAGAAGTGTGGAAAAGTTGTACACTAGAAATTTTAAGCATGGTTGCGTTAAATGAGGGACAACAAACACGACAT